GCTTTTATTTGCTAGATATTTGCGTGTTACGGCTAAAGTTACGACCGTAACTCCCTTGCCCAACCCGTAACTTCAAAAATGCTCCTCGAACCTCAACCTCGCTTCCTTAGAGTTACGGGCATGGAGTGTAAGTTACGGTCAAGACCATAACTTCAAGGGTTTGATCATAACTTTCAAAGTTCTTCTAGATCCCTCGCATTTGCTCCTCTAATGTTACAGGCTACATGGGGAAGTTACGGTCCAGACTGTAACTTTCAAAGTCTGGCCATAACTTTTCCCTTCTCTCCGCTCGATCGCTCCAAAACGTCCTAAAAATCGCTCCTTCGCACCCATTCACATACTAGGACCTGAAACATCATAAACTAACACAACCTAGCCTAAAATAGGCAACGAGAGCAAGAAAGCGAGCTCAAGCGATCAAGAAAACATGGGGAAAACATGTCCAAATATAGTGTTATCAAATTCCCCCACACTTAGCTGTTTGCTTGTCCCCAAGTAAACCTGACTCATACCAATGCAACTCTCCAGACCTGTACAGCAACATGCAAGCCCGATCATCGGTAGAGGACTTCCTAGGTCATTTAGAAGCTTACGAGGTCAACTAGTTTTATAAGACAAACCCTATTTCTCTCAATGTGAGTACTAGACTCAAGTCAGGATCATGCGAAGTAGTGGACCTAGTGATATTCGGCTTTAATATATCGGATTCTTGGACTTTATGTGATTATCCGTGGTATGTTTTAGCCAATTGGTGCTATTTTAGGGCTTACTAACCCGAGAATGGTTGAAAAACCATTACTGCCTAGTGCCATGAGTTTGATGTATTACAGGTGAAGAAAATACGAAAAAGAAGTTGCACCGGCAAACAATTCTCGAAGTTGGGCTTAAAGCCCAACTAGATGGGAATTAATGACACGGGCCAGTGGAAGTTAATTGGCGATTTGGGCCATCTCGGTTGTCTGATGGTGGCGATTCTTTGGGCCAGGGGAACAAAATTTGGGGACGGACGAAAAGAAAGGAGCAGGCAGAGAGGAGAATTTTGGGGGCAAGAAGAATCTCGCTGGGGGAGATAATTAAGGTGGGCGGCTGGCAATTAGAGAGAGGAGGAGGCTTGGGACAGAATCTGGTTGGGGGGGAAATTAAAGTCTTGGAACGAAATTATTGGGGAGGAGAGGGAAAAAGAAAGAGACCTGAGCGGCCAGGCGGAAACAAAAATCTGGCGGCGGGGATTCTTTTTGGCGGAAGGCAGCGGGACAGCGCAGCAGAAGCTTGGGACGAGCATATCACTAGTACCTCGAATCCGAAGAGAGAATCAGATTTTGTGCTTCTATTCGTATCAGTATTTTTCTCTCTTTTTCGTTACTAGCATCATGATGATTGAGAACATGATTGTGTGTTTTATTTTCGTCATGAACTAAACCCCAATTTCTGGGGGAAACACCATAGGATGTAGCTATTTCTTGATTTGATGGATTGATTTATTATTCTTTTCTTCCAATCTCTATTGCATGAAATTTCTTAATGCTTTGTGTTGACTGGCCACCAATACATCGATTTGTAGTTAATTAGGTTATTAGCGACAGTGAAACCCTATTAACCGAACCTATTTCATGTGACATAGTAACTTATCGAAGCGACAGTGGATTAAATAAGATGCTATGTGGTCTTGAATAGGATATCGATCTTCAGGCTAAATAATTAAGTCATTGAGCTACGACAGTAGGATTTGATTTAATTGTTTAGTACGTAGTAATTCCCGACAGGGATAGCTAGCACAGTAGTGATATCCTGGCTGTAGAGATATGGATTAAATTGATTGGAATATGTGAATAAATCTGGATAGGATAGGTAGTGAATCCCGGTGTTTCTCCCAGAGCTTTCTCCATTGAATTTCTCCCGACAAGTTTACTTTGCTTAATTAGTTTAATTATTTTGCTATTAGTTAATAATTTCATCTCTTAAACATTTTCACATATAGTTTGCTCGAAAGAATTGATAAATCATAAGGTTGTACCAGTCCCTGAGAGACGATACCCGGATTTCCGGTATTACTACAAGATAGGATTAAGGCATACGCTTTTGACCTATCACCTAGTACAAATAATTATTGGATAAAGAGACTCACACAACACAACAACCAAGAAATCTTCTTATCGGGTGCTCTTTCATTCCATTTCATTCATTGGAACCCCGTTGACCTTATTACTTTTTTTCTTTTTCTTTTGTTTTCCGCATTCACACTTTGTTGGGATTCCAAACTGCAGTTTTTATGCACGGTTGACCCTTATTGGTTGAGCAAAAGCAATTTCTCTACATCTGTTGCTCGCAAGAGTACTTCTTTTAACTCCTTTTTCTCAATTCGTGCGGAAAGTCAATGAAATTAAGGGGGTCGGAAGCTATATCCGTGCCCTTAAAAAACATCCTCGAGTAAGAAAACTGTTCAACAGGTGGAGTATTTGTACTAGAGACGACTTAGCATCACCTTGTAGGCCTACCCTACTAAGGATCACTAAAATATCTTCGAAATCCTGATTTTGTGCAATGAACGGTGCCACACACGTTGGACTTACCCCATGTTTCAAATTTAAAATTTTCAACATGGAGGACCAACTATTTCTAATTACGTACAACTGAGCACCATTTTACAATACCCGAGTCCACAACACAACACAAGGGGAGTCATCAATACAACATGAAACAAAGGTCCTAGAGCCACTAGTTCACACAATCAACCGACACAACAAGAGAAAGATAGGACAGATCTTTTACTTCAACATCTTCCATAGTGCTACAACTACCTTCCTAGGTAATGAGCAGACTGGAAGAGGGACCAGTTTCTGAGAATCAAGGCAAGACAAACACAACCCCGCACACTGGGTAAGAGTTAGGATAACAGTTGTCAGCCCCATGGCTTCAAAAAGAAGAAAAGAAAACACAAAACAAAAAATTTATCCAGTTCAACACACAAAACAAAGACACAGAAGACAACACATAGAGCACGTGGTCAAAGGCAGTCTCAATCATCCTCTTCAACATCGCGTAAGGAGAAGGGTGCCAAAAGGTCTGGGTGGTATCCATGTCGTTCGGCGTGCACATGATATAGCAAAAAATGAGAGTAATGGTGGACATCACGCTCATAGTCCACGCGCGCCTCGATCTGGTCAAAGCAAGCCTCTATGACTGCCCAATGATTGTCAGACGACGAAGCTGATGAAGAATCAAAACCGGAGTGACCAGAGAAGAACTGCACCAGGTCGAGATCAAGTTGATGTGGTGGAGCTTGACCGGGACAGGGCCTCGACCTCCATTGCCTATACAAACTCGGTAGGGCATATGCCCTTGAGCCCACGAATCCGCGGGTCCGTCCTAGCGATCTGAATCAGCCCAATGGAGTATAAGGTTTCATTGGGAAAGTCTCTGATGCGCCCGAACCAGGTGCACCCGTCGAGAGGAACTCCGAATTACCGGGCTAAGCGATTAATGTAAGTACCTCAATGTAGTGTGAGCACCTTCAAGTGATTCTTCACCCATGAGAAGGAGATCGCACGACTGAGACGAGGTAGCAGTGGTTCTGGGTGCGGGACATGGTGAGGAGAGTGTAAATGTGCCGCTTGGTCACTTGTTCGGAAGCCTTCTAGCTGGGGATGGCGGAGTGGGCCAGCAAAGCCTTCAGGAACCGCTACGGGGTCTTGAATTGACTGGCCCGGGTTTGAGTGTGGGAATATGTGACCGCAACGTGCTGGTGCAGGCAGAACGTTTGATAGAAACCTGCTTTTCTTTTCATTTTAGCAATTGAACTCATTTGTTAGTTTATAATTATTGAGGATTTTATTGGGTATTTGGGGGGTTAAGTTGGGGTAGCTATAGGGAATTGTTGGTTTGCTATTTAAAATATTATGCTACAAGGGAATGGAAGCTAAGAAAATATTAAGCCCTAATTGTCTTCTAAGCACTCTTTCTCTCTCCTCTACCTGCCGAATTCCCTCTTCCTTTCCTCTGTTGCTGCCGCAACTCTCTTCTCTCCTTCCCTTCCAATTCTCACTTCTTCTTTTCATCTCCATATCCATGTGACCAGAGAGGCCAACACCACTTTGGTGATTGAATCTTTCCCACCAAGTCCAAACAGTTACCATGGTTACCATGGTTATAACCAAACCAAATAAGGCTAAATTTCATTAACCATGGAATGCAATATCATAACCAAACCGTCCAAATTAATACAACAACCAAATTAACCAAACTAAAGTTTAATCGGTTTGGTTAATTGGTTAACCAGATTAACCAATATAAAATCATATTATCATCAAGTGAGAAAATTTTCGGTTAATTTATCAATTCACAATTTATATAATGAATAAAACATAACAATCAACAGATAGTTATAGTTGACCCTTAACATAAATAAATGCAACTAAGACAATTATCTTACGGTTAGTATAGAAGTATTCACCTATAAAAAATTTATCACAATGGTACGGATTAATGTATTGTTGTGTTTGTTTAAATTGATTTAGTATTTTAGCAATTTTCATAGGCTGAAAAGGACCTTGCTTTCGAGTATTCATCCAACATAATGTATGAGATTTATCTAAATTAGGCGGTCATATGTTGTGGTCTACACTCTACATATACAAATATACATTATAGAAAAAATATCAAGCTTTATATTTTATGAGTCTAAAAGGATAAACGTTTAACTCTTGAGTGGTTATTCAAAGTATTAAGTATGTGTATATATTAGATATATAACTAATTATTTATCTGGTTATTTTGGTTTGGCTGGTTAGGAGTGTTTGAAACCAAACCACCTAAACCAAACAAGCTAAAAACTTTAACCAAACCAAACCAATTATCCAAATTAACCAAACCAAATTATCCAAATAGTACTAGTTAAAACGGTTACCATGGTAACCACACCGTTTGACCACCCCTATTAGATAGGGCCCAAATTCGAGTTTTTATCATCTGGTATCAGAGCCCGACTCCGATTATCGAGTTTGTCACAACTCTAAACTAGGGCGGCCAACAAGGACCATGGCTATCACCAAATTCACCACGGAGAAGACTGACGCCGGATCCAAGGCGGCGGGGGTGGCCCAGACAAGATGTTTATCCCTACAAGCGGAGCACCGACGCGAAGGCGTCGTGGTGGAAGAGACCGAGAATGATGATCTATAGGCTTTGATGCGCACCATCGTGGCGATGCAGTTGAGGACCGACTCCAACATGGAGACGGTGCGTGCGGAAGTTGAGGAGGCAAAGCGCGAACGTGACATGATCATGAAACTCCTCGCCAGCATGCAGGAGGAGTAGAGGAGGATGGCGGCTGCGCTAGGGCTCGACATCGACCAAGGCGGACCAGGTGGTGGTGGCCGGGCACAGCGCTGCCGCAGGAGACAGGACTTGACCGGAGCTCCGGGGGTTAGCGAGGCGGCGATGGGGGCCGGAGAAAAGGCGACGGCGGCTGCGCTAGGGCAGGTGACTACCGAGCGGATGGGCCGAGATGCCAGTGAGCTTCAAGGCGGGATCGGGCTACTATCGACCCCGACGACAGAGGAGATTGCGGAAATACATGGCAAGGCGAAGGTGTTAGGCTACGACAACGTGGTTCAGAATCCATGTTTCATGCCGTTGGGCCCAAGGACCCAAGTAGAAGGCGCAAGACAGGCCGGGGACCCGAACTGGCTTGGGTGGCTGGGAATGGGATCAAGCCCCATAGGTGACTAGACGGGCCGAGTGCAACGGCCTGGAGGCGGGACTGAGCTGGTCTCCTAGACGGACCGGGGTCGAGCGGACCAACGAAACGGATCGGGCCTTGGTGATCAAATCGAAGCTGGGTGGACCGATAGTGGTCAAACCAGAAGTGAACCGAACTAGTTTAGGTTGACTCAGAACAGCAGGCCGACCGTAGGATTTCTAGGCCAGCTGGAGTACTCAGGTGCACTATACCCACCTTTCGCAGCACCGGCAGACACCGGGCATCAACCGGGGCGGTACGGACACTACTAGGAGGACGACGGGCATGGCAGGGGCCCCTAAGAGACGCGCGCGGTCCAGTTGGATACCACGGAAGGTACTCCAGTACGTGCAGGCATGGTGGTTATGATCGTTCTTATGATGATGAGTATGGCATAGTGTTTCGAGCCAAACCTCCGACCATTGAGTTTCCAAAATTCAATGGTCAGGAGGATGCCGGGTTATGGTTGTATGCAGTTGACAGGTGGTTCAAGAACCACCAGACATGGGAGGAAAGGAAGGCGCAAATGGCATCCTTCTACCTGGAGGGTGACGCCATGCATTGGTGGGAGTGGCTAGGGCGGTCCTACGCTATAGCCGAGACGCTAATTACCTGGCCGATCTTTCAGGAAGAGCTCCATTACCAGTTTGGCAAGTCTGAGGGATGGTCTCCCGAGCAGTAGCCAAGCTCAGGCAGACAGGAACCGTAGCCGAGTGTCGAGCATAATTTCTCAAGCTAGCGAACCAGTGCAAGGGATTTCTGGAGGAGACCCTAGTTGGGATGTGCACGGCGGGGCTGAAGTCGAAGATCGCGGCGGCAGTCAAGAAATTTGAGTCAGACACTCTGAGGGCTGCCTTTAGTCTTGTAGGGCATAAGGAGGAAGAGCTGGTGGGTTGGAGGAGTGTCATAAGCCGTTATCCACGGTCTGGTGGAGGGGGAAACCAGAGCTCGGTGAGCGAAGGTGCAGGAGGCACAACCACTTGTGCAGGTGGCGGGGCGAGCGGAGTTCTAGGAACAGCAGCTCCGGTGGCGTGACATGGCCCGAGGGTCCCTCCTAAGGGGTTCGTTCGGCTGAGCTCGATTGAGATCGACCAGAAGCGGAGGGAAGGTACCTGCCGAATTCCCTCTTCCTTTCCTCTGCTGTTGTCACAGCTCTCTTTTCTCCTTCCCTTCCAATTCTCACTTCTTCTTTTCATCTCCATATCCACGTGACCAGATTTATACTTCGGAAGATCCGTACCTAGCTTGGAATCTCTTAAGCTGACGAAACCCTCTTAGACACAATACCGACATAATGTGCTAAGGTAGTAAAAACAAATATTCTCTACTGGAACAAATTCCAATACAGAGCAATGAATCGATAGACTCTCGCACAATCGATTCACCACTTCAAAATGAGGATGTCCTATTAACCTATTCAGATTCTATCTATCTATCTAAGAGTGACTACAAAGTTGGAGCAGTTTGCCCGAGGCACTGACGAAAGGTGCTCGAACTTAGATCTCCCACCACCCGAAGCAAAGTACAAGTTGGAGCTTGCCATAGAGAACTTTGAAAGAGCATGCTCCAATATGGATTTCCTACACCTCCCTCCCACCGGTTCGACACTACAAGAGAAAGTGGCGCGAGCTTGTGCACGCCATCGGCTCTCATCACTAGAGGACAAAGAGGAGGTCGAAAGGGAGATCATTGACAACCGTGTGGAGCAAGATGGACTTACCTCGGAGAGCTCCCATGGTGAGTATGAAAAAGAAGGTTGCATAGATAACTTTCACAACCTTCCCTTTCCCGAGAACAACTTTGAAAGTTGGCTATCACGGTTTCCTTTTCCGATAGAACCAAAATGCAGGTGGCGGGAAATTGGTGAGCAAGCTTCGATAGACCAAGATCTGCATGTTGTAGGCGGTCAACGTTCAAGCCTCGAGAGACCTAGACTTGCATGGGGTGACCGATTGGCGAAGCTTCTTCTTCAGACGACTTGCACCCAGCCGGCGGTGGGCAATGGGTAAGACATCTTTGACTTTTCTTCTTCCTAATTAAGTCCTCTTTCCCGTTTTCATTCATGCGTTTTCCATTAAGTGAATTGTGCGAGTTTTGACGTCTTCAGACGACTTGCACCCAGCCGGCGGTGGGCAATGGGTAAGACATCTTTGACTTTTCTTCTTCCTAATTAAGTCCTCTTTCCCGTTTTCATTCATGCGTTTTCCATTAAAGTGAATTGTGCGAGTTTTGTTTTTCTTCTTCTTCTTGACAACTTACATTGGTCAAATGTACTGCTCAAGACTTAATTGCTCTATTTATGAGGTGCTTGATTTGAAAAAAAATGAGGGCAAAACCCATTCCCAAACCATTAACGCGTCAATTTTTTCCCTTTTCCCTCTTAGATTCCTTTTCAGTACCCATTACCTCCAATTCCTTTCCTCTTTCCACCAAAACGAAAAGTCAAATTCCTTTCTTTTATGTCATTCTTGTTTGTGTGAGGAAGATGGGGAAGCAAAAGAGAAGGAAGGCTCAAATGATCAGGGAACCATCTCAACGCCATGAAGAAGAAACCAGGACTAGCAATTCAAAGCAACAGAACACACTCCAACTCCTCCTACTGGAATTCAGGGACCACAACAACCAAAACAAGATAAAATCAATCCATTGGAAGAGGAAGAAACAGAGCACGTTGCATCCAATTCTCAACATTCAATGGCAGAGCAATCATCGCAGGGGGATCAGTCATCTTCGAAGAAGAGAAAAGGAAGAGGATCCAGGATAGGAGTAAAGCCTGGTCACAACCCTCCTCTCAAAGTCCATGACAAGAGGTAAGACTACTTTTTTTTTCTTCCCATGATTTCATATTTTCTGTTGTTGTGTTAAGATTTCAATTGACGAAATTTTTTGCTCTACCTCCTGGTCTGCAGAATCATCACAACTAAGGTAGGGCGTAAAATTTCGGCCATTTTCAGGAGAAGCCTCACTGGTCCTTGGATATCATCCTTGTAGTATCTGGAGGAAGCATTCGAGACCCTGTTTGCTCGTTTTAAGGACACATGTTACATACATTCAATATCAGATGAGGAGTTGAAGGTTCACGTCAAAGCGTACGCAAAGAGGTCATACCCCTAGTGGATGTATAGCATACAAAATCTGATATTCACCAGTTATGAGTCACTGAAAGTGAGGGTCAAGCATCCACCTCCACAAATATCTCCATTGGTATAGAAGGAGATGGTACAGAAATGGATGGATCCAAAATGGAAGGTACCAACTGTAAACTCAAGTTATTTTCGAGAAAACAACACTAGAAGGTTATTGATTTCCTTTTTTCGATCATTACTGCAGGAAACAAGTGACAAGAACAAGGAATATAGGGGGAAGAGCGAGCTAGAAGCCACGGGAGGTTTATCACCCTTGGCCAAGTACAGACATGATGAGATTTCGCTTAAACCCTCATTATGTATTTTTTCTTTGCTGGTGTCTTTTAAAACAATGTTCTTTTATGCTTTGTGGATGTTGTGTTTGTAATACTTTGGTTTTCCTTTACTTGTAGCTAAAAAGAACCAGCAATGAACCTTATTTGATAGACATGTTTAGGAAGTTTCATGTGAAGAAGAACAAAGATTGGGTTACCCTAAAAGCACAACCGATGCATGTAAACTGGTAGTTCCGTTATGGTTTGTTTCTGCTAGATGTTAAAATGTAGTTTTTGTTGCTTGCTGGTAGTTGCTAGTGGATGTTAGTTGAAGTCGTTAGATGCTGATTACGATAAAGACTTGTTGTTGTTGTTTGTTACATTTATTAGCATATGTTGGTTGTTGTTGCTGGTTAGGTCAACATGGAAGATGCAGTGGCTCAAAAGAAATCTCCGAGGGAATATCCTAACCGATTGAAAATCTACCAGAGCGAGATTGGACCACAATGCCGCAAGCGCATTCGTAGGATAGGGCATGAGTGAGTTCTGAGGAGGTACTCGATCCTTCATCTAGCGAAGGCTGCAGCAAACGGTGCAAGGAGGATCAAGCGAAACAAAGGGAAGAAAGTGATGAGAAGATGAGTAGCTTGCATGAAGAGATGGTGGAGGTCGGAAATTTTGTTCCTCAACTGGTTCAAGTAGAATTGCGCAAGTATGGACTGAAGCTGTCCGAGTTGTACGATCCGCTGAGTTACATATATAATCGCAATGATTTTCCCTAGTGAATTGTTGTTTGAATTTCAATTGTGTAAAAAGGGTGATAGCATCGTATTTGCACGTGTTCTCACTCTGGTTTCCTGTCCATTTTAGCTTGAATTGATTGTTCCTTGGCCTATTTTACGCTAGGTTGTATTGTTTTGTCGTATTTCAGGTCCTAGCAGGCAAAGAGGTGCATAGGTGCAAGTTTCGGGTCATTTGGAGGTCAGATGGTGATTCACAGGCCAAATTACGGGTAGCCCCTGCCAAATTACGACCGTAATTGGTACGGGCATGCCCGTAAAACAAATGTCGAGCCAGTTACTGATAACGATGTAAATGCACATGTTTGCGCCCCTAGTTCTTATCCGTTTGAGGAGTATAGTCGTGTGTTTTGGCCTATTTTACGCCGGGTTGTGCTATTTTGTCATGTTTCAGGTCCCAGGCGTTAAAGGGAAGGCTAACTGCGAGTTTCGGGGCATTCGGAAGTCATTTCGGTGAGCTGGAGCCAAAACACGGGCAGCCCAAGGAATTACACGGCCGTGTACTACTGGCCGTGCTTTTTATGCCGAGAGCAAATTCAGTTTGGCCAATTCAGTTGCAAACACGGGCACCGAAGCACGGCCGTGTTCCACCAAAGCACGGCCGTGTCCAACGCGAAGCACGGCCGTGTTTAACCCCCTTGCTGGCCGTGTAATTAAGCCCTGGCCGAGGCACGGGCGGAGTCAGGCAAAGCACGGCCGTGCCCTTGACGTGCTTTGGCCACTGATGCTTTTAAGCAGAGTTTCAACCACAATTCAAAGGGATTCGAGTTTTAGAGAGAGAGATCAGTTCCTAGAGAGAGAAAGTGACGAGCAAGAGTTCCCAAGTGCCCTAGATTGATCTTCAACACCATTGGAGGCCAGCTTGAGCTTGGAGAAGTGCCAATCAACGTCCAGAAGCAGGAATCCATACTTCGCAGTATGAATTCCGTGTCTGATTCTGCTTTTGCTTTCTTCTCCATGGAGTAGTTCTCCCATTCATCTGGGTATGGAGAACCCTAGATTTGTATGTTAGGCTTTGATTGTATGAACCCAAGTACTGATTCTATGATTGATTATATTCGATTGAGGTTTTAATGATTGAATGACTTGAATCCTGATCAAATTCCTGTTGTTTCTGCTTTAACCTAG